CACACACACACACACACACACACACACACACACACACACACACACACACACACACACCCGTGCGTGCTTGCTCATGCAAACACACCTCCCCAGCAGCGCCTTGAGCTGCCCCTCCAGCTGCTCCACACGCGCGTCAGCCGCAGCCAGCTGGTCGGTCTTGACGGATATGGCCGCCTGGTAGCGTGCAACAGATGTTCGGGAATCAGGGCAGCAGGGCAGCAGGCGAGAGGACGATGCTGGTGGTTGAGCGCAACATGTGCACGCACGGCGCAGCCCTGCTGCTGCTCCTGCTGTTGCTGCTGCTGCTGCTGAAGGATGCATTGCCCTCGTGCTGCCCTTGATAGAATCTACGAAGACCTGATCAAGCAGGAACTTAGCCCTGAGTGGCGCAGGCAAGCGGGTGATGGCTTAGGGTCGCTTGACCCCCAACCCTACACCTCAAACCCATCAACACAACCCCGTTTTCTAGAAGCCGTGTGCCCCGCGTCTCGCGCGTGGCGGCCCCACCTGCACATCGTCTTGCCGCGCCGCGTGCGCGCGCAGGCGGGCGCACTCCTCCGCCAGGCGCCCGGCCTCCGCCTCGATCAGGCCCTGCTGATTCGCCCTGGACGGTTTGAGAAGGGTGGGTGCTGTGGGGGTCAAACTGCGTGTCCAGGAGACTTCCTGCCACGCGCACGGGCAGGCGTTGGCTGGGATGCACAAGCACGGCTCCCAGCATCCCCCAAGCGGCGTCGCAAGGGGGGGGGCGTGGTGGCCGCCGCAGGCCCCTGCTAGTCCTGCGCCGACCTGGTGTCCAGCTGCCGCCGCAGCTCCCGCCCCTCCTCCTGCGCGCGCGACAGCGCCGCCTGCTGCTGGAATATCTTGTCACTCTGGGCCCTGCGGTACGCGCGCCGCGGGTGACCGGCTGTCGGACAAACTCAGAGTGCACCTTGTGCATGCACGACCAGCCCCAGTGGACCGCTTGAAAGCGCTGCCGCCACCACCACCCGCTCTCATGACTGTTGGAATCTACCAGTTTCCTTGCGGCGGCGAACGAGTTTCAAGGCTTTGTGAAAGCAGGGTTGCGGCGCAGCCATGAGGGGAACCAGACCTGAGGGTTGCCTGCAGCCTGGCCGCGTCGTCCCCCTTGGCAGCCAGCCGCGCCTCGAGCTCAGCAAGCCGCTGCGCCGCCGCCGCCGCCTCGCGCAGCCGACGCGACAGTTCGGAGCCAACCTGTCGGGCCCGGTTGAAGCAGCGTCGGGAGGGGATTAGGATAAGGATTGTTACCAGATCCCGCGGTCGCCCGCACCCGGAGCCATCCAGGCTTATGGGATGTGGCTGTGTGGCATCAGGGAGGGGCTTTGCGGAGCTCGCGGGTGTCTGGGGAAGGGGGGCGGGCGGCCTAGCTGCTGCAAGCATGTCGCGCGCGCAGCAGGTCACGGGCAGCGGGGCGCGTGGGGCGGTAGTGCAGCCGGGTGAAACAGAGGCTGTTGCATCCGGAGGCGGAGCGGAGGCCGCGCGGCCGAGCCGAGCGCAAGGGGCCCACCACATCGATCAGCTCCTCTAGTAGAGCGACAGACCCGCCGCCGTCCGCCCTGCCCTGCGGCCCCGCGCCGCGCCGTTCGGGGCTGCCCAGCAGGAGCCCCGCAAACGGCGCCGGCAGGCCGCCGCCGAAAGGGGAGTCCGGCGCCGCGGCGTCGCTGCTGCTGATGCCGCCGCCGCCGCAGGCGCTGCTCTGCACCGCGGCGGGCGCCACCGACAGCAGCAGCTGCCGCAGCACGCTGCAGAGCCGCGAGACGGCGGCGTCGAGCGCCTCCAGGCGCCGCCGCTCGCTGAGCGCCTGCGGCGCGGGCGGGTGTTTGGGGGCGGCGCTCAAGGCTCACCCGAAGGAGCGTTGGGGGAGAATTCAGCACAAGGGTCGCAATTCAAGGGGCGCCAAATGATGCATGGACAACCTCTGTTCAGTATACATACATCATACACAAAACAAGGCGGCCACCATAAATCACGGTTCTTGAGCATGGGGGCCGCGACAGTAAGTGCCGGCTCGCCTGCGCGACCGCCGCTTCCAGCTGCTGGCGCAGCGCCTCGCCGCCGCGCCGCGCCGACGCGGCGTCCTCCCTGGCGGCGGCCGCCGCGTCCGCGTGCGCGTCGGCCCGGCCGCTCAGCTGCGCGGACGCCTCTGAGAGGCGCGCCGCCTCGGCTGCGGGCGGGGTGAGGCGGGCGCAATCGGAAGTACGTCAAAACAAGGGTGCGTGCGTTCGCCGCTGCACGCGGGTGTGAGATTGGATGTGAGAGTCGAGTCTGCGCTAGCAACCGAAGGGTCGTATTCCCGCCCGTTCTGGAATTGCATGCACTCTTTCATCGCGCAAGGGTTGGTAGCCACTGCGTGTTGCAGGTCACTCACCCTCAGCAAACTCAAGCTGCCGCTGCAGCGCCGCGCAGCGCCCGTTGGCGGCGTGCAGCTCCGCCTCTAGCGCCTGGATGCGCGCCTGCGCGGGAGAGCAAATTGCGCAGCACCCCAGCCTCTTCGCCTTTTTTTGACCGGTCCGTCCGCACCACAGGGAGGGTTGCAGACAGCTGCACGCAATGCAGCACGGCCGCATGGCGCTGCCCATCTTCACAGCAAGCGGTCTACTTTAATAGTGGGCCGTACCTACACAACTGTCTTTGTTCCGCGCCCGCCCATCGAGCGACGGCTCACCTCGCCGGCAGCAAGCCCGCTGTCCTTGGTGCGCACGGCGCTGGCGAGCGCGTCGGCCTGCGCCGCCGCAGCCTCGCGCTGCTGCATGAGGGCCGACTCTGCCGCGGCTGCGCGGGCCTGGTGGGGATGCACGTTCAGGGAAACCGGGGCGCGTCAGGCTGCTGCCAACATCGTGGCACACTGTGGACAAGCGGCGCACCCCACTCCTGGCTGCGCCCCACGACTTGCTTGGCCGAGCAGGGGCCGCTCAAGCCGCGACGTTTGACCAGGGTTTGACCGCAGCACTCGGCACTCTGCAGTTGACCCACAGGCGTGCGCCGGCCGCCGCACCTGCGCCTCAACCAGCTGCTGCGTCAGCCCCGCCGTCTCCCGCCGCAGGTGCTCCAGTTGCACGGACGCCTGCGATGACGTGACGCAGCGCGGGGCCAGGAGCCGCGACGGGGGGCGGCACTGGTGAGCACTTGCCAGGGTGTGCCGCGGCTCGGGCCCATCGGACAGGCAGCCGAAGGCACGCCGTGCGCCCGCGGCTCGGGCGCGTCGCGCCGCTCGGACGCCGCAGCGGGGCGGTGAAACACGCGAGCCTCTGCGTGGCGGAAGCGGTTTGTCCTTTCGATGCCTCCCGTGCGACCATTTGGGTTCAAGGTTTAGGGTTGACGGAAGTAAACCAGTTGGAGGGTGCACCAAGCAAGAACCCTGCACCTGCCCCAGCTGGAAGTTGAGCTCCTCAATTTTGAGGCCCTTCAGCCTCCCAGCCTCCTTCCACGCAGACGCGACCTGGTTGAACCAAGAGTTGACCAAGAGTCGACCAGGAATTTGACCAAGGTTATGTCGGAGACTTCAACACAGTGTGTGATCAAGAGTTTGCCCACAGGCGTGACCAGGACAGCAGGGGGGGGTATGCTTGGACGTGCCGTGTGATGAAGGCAAGATTCATTGAAAGAGTCAGCATCGGCCATACAGCACAAATACGAATTTGCGAGGAGAAGGGGGCGCCGCTGCCTGGCGGGGGGCGTCCTGCGGGGCGGTCCCACCTTGTCAATGCGGGAGTGGTGCCGGCCCTCCCCGCTCCTGACGCTGCTCTGCCGCGCGCTGCTGCGCCCACCGCTGCCGCTGCTGGCGCTGCCGGGGCGGCCGTCGTGCGGCGCCGCGGCCCCGCTGATGCTGCCCTGGTCGCCCTCACACAGTGCCTTGAGCTGCAGGGGGTTGTGATACGGGGGGCATAAATTACGGGTGCGTGCATGACATTGAAACGCATGATGACGTCAGCATGCACAAGAAACAACAAAAAGCATGCCACTCAAACAGCAGGCGTCGCTCACGGCCTGCTGCACCAAGGGCACGACAGAGAGGGCGAGGGCAGATAACGCGTGGGGGTGAAGAGGCTGCAGGGGTCGGGCGGCCGGTCAGCAGCCGCACCTGTTCGATGACCCGGTCCTTCGCCGCAGCCGCGTCCTGCAGCGCCGCGAGCTGCGCCTGCAGCACCGACGACGCGGCCGCGGCCTCGCGGAGGCGGCGCTCGCCGTCTGAGAGCTGCTGCGCCAGCTCGGCGTTGACCTGCGCGCGCGTTGACCACGCGCGGGGCGGCGCGGTGGGGAGCGCGGCGCGATGTAGTGGTGCAGCACCGAGGGTTGCAACGAAGCTTCACGGAAACCGATTGACCCATGCCCGGCGGGGCCGCGGCGCCCGCTCGACGCTGCTCGGTCCGACACTGAGCAGCTGTGCGTGTGCTGCAAAACGCGCGCCGTTCAGGGGCAGGTTTTGGGGTTGCCGCAAACGCAAACGCACGCGCACCCACACCTGCGCGAGCTCCGCCCGGCGCGCGTTTGCGGTGCGGACGTCTTCCTGCGCGCGGTCCAGCTCGGACTGCAGGGCGACCACCCTGGCCCAAAGCGCAGGCGCGTGCGGCACCGCCTCGCCGGCGCCCTCCTCGGCCGCTCCTGGGAGCAAGGGCGGCAGCAGGGGCGAGGGTGCTCGAATCAACAAGTGATGTATCGAACAACAGTTGGCGTAATGTTTATCCTCTGCAGCAACGCACGCCTAACGCCCGTACAAATGCACACACAAGGCAGCTCATGTTTGCTGGTGCTTTTCACGCTCCAGACAGCCGGCATCCCCTTGCATCCGCCGCCCCAAACCCACCGCCGGGCGACCGTCGCCAGTCAAGCCGCTGCTTCTCATCCTCTCGGCGGGCCTCTGCCGCAGCCTTGGCCTGCAGTCATGGGGTGCCTGCGCTCGATGCCCTGCGCATACGGCTGCATGCTGTGTATCTAATGCAGCAGCGCTCCTGCTGCATTGCGATTCACTGAGTGCAGCCGCAATCTGCCGCGCCGCGCGGCGCGAATGGTTATGCTGTGAACCCCACCTGCGCGCGTGCCTCATTAGCCAGCGTCATGGCTGCAGCAGCCTCCTCTTGAGCGGCCGCCAGGGCGCGCTGGTGAGAGGCAGCAGGAAAAGGAGACGTGAGGCGTTCATCAGAGGGCGCAGGCGGTGGGGATTTGGCAGCTGCATCATTGCTGCTGCCAGGAGCAGCGGAAGCCGAAGGTCAGGAGGTGGCAAGGCGGGAGGCGCGTCACCCACCCGATACGCGTCCACCTCTGCCCGCAGGTCCGCCGCCTCGATGGCTGACAGCATGGGTCCGTCCATGGGTAGCTCAGCTCCTGCGCGCGCACGGATGCCGGCATGCGGTAATTGTGTACAGCGTGTCGCGCCCCAGGACTGGTGCTGCGCGACGACGCGGCACGAGTAAGTTGGTGTCGGACTCTGCTCCGAGTTGCATGCGCGATGCATGTGTAGTCATAGACGTACGCGACCGTGCTACATATACAACCTACTGCGCGCGCCTGCAATTCTCAGCTTGAGCCAGATCGACGATCAGCGAACTTTGCGCAGTATATGTTCCATCAAAAGTTTGATCTACTTGTAATTTGCATCAGACCGGGTGATGCACGCTCGCCCTTTACCAAGTGATCGCGCGTGCAAGTATGGAACGCAGTCTGTCTGGAAATGAATCAAAGCCAAAGTTGTCGACTCTCAGCTCCAGATATCTCCTTGTACCGTACAGGCGGAGAATCAACTTCACCTGAGTGTCACCAGCACCGGTCAACACCCTGGTTGACCACAACCCCACCTGCTTTGACGCCATTGGTGCCGGCCTCGTGGTCGCTCTGACGGGACAAAGACCGCACCCGCGTCTCCAGCTGTCGCACCTGCAGCCATAGCGTAGGCAAGACCCGACAGCCCAACGCGTCAACGGTCTGCGGCAACCGATCTGGTTGAACCTTCGCCTTGCCTCGTCTTCTCCTCCCAGGCGACCCCGTCCTCAGACTCCCCACACCCCTCCCACCTCGATCGCGCGCTGCTCCACCTCCGCATCGCGCTGCACGAGGCGCGCCTTGAGCAGCCTGAGCTTCTGGTGGCCCGCCGTCACGCGGTTCACCCTGCACGCGGCACCAACGAACGGTCAGTGTGCTGGCCTGGCGCGCCGCGCGCTGCATCAGATCGCCCGGCAGCACAAGGTATGGCAGTGCGAAAAACCGCAAGCAGCTAGCAGCAGCGCCGCGACGATGATCCTCACCGCGAGCGCCTGTCTAGAGGTTGCAATGTGATAGGCGAGTGCGATCCTGAAACAACAGCACGAGCTCAGGCGCTATTGCGCTCACAGGTCAAGGTTTTCGGCCGCTAGGGCGGCCTCGATGCCGCTGGAGCTCTCTGTGCACGGCCGAGTGCCCGGCGCCGCAGTGACGGGCCCTTCTTGCACGGCTGGCTGATGCGGCCTGCTTTGGAGCGCCTTCTGCAGCCTGCAGACCCGAGCGCGGTGCACTCAGCAGCGTCAGGATCATGAGCGCTGATGTTGCAAGGCAACAGGCACTCAAAAGTGCATTGGCAGGGACCCACATAGTAGCAAATGGCGAGCCAAGACCTTGGCTTGGCAAAGACCAAAAAGCTCACCTGGCGTTCTCGGCCTGCAGCTGCTGCACCTGCAGAGTCAGCGTCCGCAGCTGTTGCTGGCTCCTCGCCAGCTTCCCTGCCAGCGCCGCTACCTCCTCCGCCGCGTCGCTCCGCCGCTTCGGGCCTGCGCTGCCCACAGCGGCGTGCTCAATGGGGACGGCCGCTGCTGCCGCTGGCGTTGTCACTGCTGCTGCTGCTGCTGCTGCTGCTGCTGCTGCTGCTGCTGTTGCTGCTCCCAATGCTGCGTCACCGGCCGGCTGTCTGGCGATCGCATTGCCGTCTGAAGGAGGAATCTGCTCGGCAGCTGCTGCTGCTGCGGCTGCTGCTGCTGCTGCTGCTGCTGCTACCGCCGCCTCCCCTCGCTCCAACTCGTCCCGCAGCCGTCCTGCCCGCTCCGCCGACGCGTCCGCCGCATGCTGCGCCATAAACCCCTCCTCCACGGCCGCCGCCAGCTGGGTTTGCAGCGCGGCGACGCGCGCGCGGAGGCCCTCGGCTTCGTGGGCGTGTGCCTGCAGCTCCACCTGCTTGTGCCGCTCCTGCGGGTGCACGCGCACGCGACTCAGGGGGTCGTTGACGAGCACATGTTGGAGGCGGCCACCCAGCAGGCCGCAGCAACAAGGCCAAGCAGAACATACAGGCAAGCCGTGCAGCGATATGTAGTTCATGATTCTCCCCGCACCCGGGCAACCGCCGCCTCGAGCTCCTGCACCCGAGCCAGCCACCGTGTCTCCGCCGCCGCGCCAGCCAGCGCCGCGGCCGCGCCCGCGTCCGACGCGCGCGAGAGCGCCGCCTCCAGCTCGGTCTGGGTGCCGGCCAGCTGTGCGTGCAGGTGAGCAGCGGCGGCTCGCAGGCCGGTCAGCTCTGCCTCTGCAGCTTCCAGCTGCCCCTCAGACCGCGCCAGCGCGGCCGCCGCGGCCGCGGCTGCCGCCGCCGCGTCCTTGTGCTGGCGCAGTGCGCCGCCCTGCCTGGGAGCAATCTGGTCGACGGGCGCGGCCGCGTCTGCGCACGCGTCTCGTAGCTCCCCGTGCTGCTGCTGCTGCTGCTGCTGCCACAGGCGAGCCTCGAGCTCGAGCTCCGCCGCCCTCTGCCGCGCCTCTGCCAGCTCAGCGCCAAAATGGCAGAGCTGCTCCTCCGCCTGGTCAGCGCGCCGCTCGGCCGCATCGAGCCGCGCCTGGCGCTCCGCGCCGAGCTCTGACGCAAGGTGCTGCTGCTGCGCCGCCAGGGCAGCCGCCGCGCCGCCCTCCAGCCTCGCGCGCTGCGGCTCCGACAGCCCCGCCTGCTGCTGATGATCGGACTCGCGCCGCTCCTGCTCGCGCCGCTGCAGCTCGCACACAGCACTCTCGCGCTCGCTGAGGCGGCGCAGTGCTTCTGCGCACTCCTCTCGCGCGGCCGCTGCCCGCGCCTCCGCGGCCTGCGCCCGCGCCTGCGCCTCGGAGGCGGCGCCGGCGGCGCCGCGCTGCGCTGCCTGGAGCTCGGACAGCAGCCGCGCATTCACCGCCCGCTCGGCTTCCACAGAGGCCGCCGCGGCGTCGCGCTCGCGGCGCGCGCGCTCGGCATCCTCCGCCGCCCGCCGCAGGCGCGCCTCCGCCTCCTCGCAGCGCGCCCCGAGCGCCGCGGCGGCCGCGCCCGCTTCCGCGCCCTCGCGGCGCGCGGCGGCGAGGCTGGCGTCCAGCTGGGCCGCCCTCTGCTCAGCGGCCGCTCTCCCCGCCGCCTCGTGCGTCAGGCGCTTGCCCGCCGTGGCAGCAGCATCGCTGGCGCCGCGATAAGCTCGCACCGCCGCGGCCGCCTGGCGAGCCAGCCCGTCGGCGCGAGCCCCCGCTTCCGCGGCGCAGACGGCGGCGTCGCGCAGCGCGCGCTCGCAACAAGCTGCCCGCCGCAGCAGGCCGTCCTGCTCGCCGCGCAGCGCCGCGGCCTCCGCCGCCGCTGCGGCGGCGCCCTTGGCGGCGGCGGCGAGCTCCCGCCGCAGCTCTCCCTCCATTTGCTGCGCCTCAAGCCGTGCCTCCTGCAGCCGAGCCTTTGCCTCTCCGAGCTCCCTGCTGTGGCCGGCCGCGTCCAGCTGCCGGCCCCGCAACTGCTGACTCAGCAGCGCCGCGCCCTCCTCCTCCAACGCCGCCTGCAGCGCCGCAAACCGCGCGTCCATCGCCGCCTTGTCGGCGCGCCACGCGGACTCGAGATCGCACAGCCCCTGCAGCTGCCCCTCGGCTTCCTCGGCGCGCGAAACCGCGACCGCCAGCTCATCCTCTGCGTCGCCCGCGCGCCGCAGCGCCGCGTCCAGCGCCGCGCCGGCTGCCCCGAGGCGTCGCGCGGCGTCGGCGGCGCGCGCGTCGGACGCCGCGGCGCGCTGGAGGGCCGACGACTCTCGCGCGTCCGCGTCCAGCAGCAGCTGCCGCGAAGCTGCCAGCGTGGCCTCGGCCGCTGCCGCGCGGCGCAGCAAGCCCTCCGCGTCGCCGCGCAGCGCGGCGCACTCGGAGCGCAGGTGAGCAGCCTCGGACCGCGCGTCGTGGAGGTTGGGGCCGCCTCCCTCCTCCCCCTGCTGCCGCTGCTGCTGCTGCTGCTGCTGCTGCTGCTGCCGCATCTGGTCCAGCTCTGCCATGGCATCGGCCAGGGCGGCCCGCAGTTCTCTGATGCGATGGGACTTGGGGTCATCCGGGTCAGAGCTGACGCCGCCGCCCCCGCTCGCAGCCGCATGCGCCACCATAACCCTGCCAGTCGCCCCGACGGCGACGCCGGCGGCGCCGCCGGCGCGCCCCGCCGCCGCCGCCGCTGCCGCCGCCGCGTCCGCCGCGGCGGACGCCTCGGTGAGCGCTGACGTCAACTGGCGTATCCGCTCCAACTTCGGGTCAGCCACTGCGCCTGCCCCGACGACCGAACCGCCTGGCTTCAGGCTCCTATCCCCGCTGCCGGCGAAAGCGGCCGCTGCGTCACCGAGCGCCGCCGCAAGCGCGGCGCGCAGCTCGCAGATCCTCCTGTCCTTGGCTTCCAAGGCCGCCGCCGCCGCCGCAGCAGCAGCGCCGCTGTCCGCGTCCTCAATTGCCTGGCCGCCTGGGCGCGCGCCCTCCGGCGCAGCTCCCTCGGCCCGATCCGGGGCCGCGCCGGCGCCCGCGTGCTCGTCCGCCTTGCCCGTTATCAGCGCACGCACGCGCGCCGCGGCCTCTGCGGCGGCGAGCTGGGCGCGCAGCGCCTCGGAGACCGCGGCTTGGTGCTGCAGGGCTCGCGCGGTGGCGGAAGCTTCCCGCTGGGCGGACCCAAGCTCGGCCTGGGCAGCTGCCAAGTCCGCTTCCAGCTGCTGCACCTGCGGCGCGGGGCGCGTGCGCGCCAGACATCACATCGGTAAACACCCAAGTGCCCAAGCACCCAGGCGCACGAGCGAGTGCGGTTCGGCACAAGTCAGCAGTGCCGACGAGGCGGTGGGGCCCACGCCGTTTGGCGTGACGGTGTCACAAATGGGCGCCTTCCCCCCGCTCCCCAGCACCACAGTCACGGCTTCGCCAGACCCCTGCCGTGCGGCGTACGGGCCCTAAGGAGGCCGCACGCCCAGGGGGCACGGGCATGGGCAGTGCCAACCATCGCGCCACACCCGCTGGCCCAGCGCCCGGCCCTCTTCCAGCAGCCGAGAGCTAGTCTCGCGCCCGGCCCTCAGCGCCGCCTCGGCGTCCTGCAGCTGCGCCAGGAGGCCGCCGCCGGACGCCTGCTGCTGGGAGCACCTGTTGAGTGTGATTTAAAGCGCACGCATTCACGTCAAGACAGGTAGAGACAGGGCTGGTGGCTCGTGCCGGGCGCGAGAGAGGAGTAGACCAGCAAAAAATTGTGCGAGGCCGCAGCCAAGTGGTGCCGCCAAATTGCAGTTGCGGAGGCGCACCTGCCCCGCAGCTGCTCTGCCTCCTTGGCGCTCCCCTCCGCCGCGCGCCGCGCCGCCGCCAGCTGCTGCTCCGCCCTCTCTGCCCGCACTGCGAGCGCCGCCGCTCGCTCCTGCAGCCGGCGCCGCTCCGCGCCCAGCGAGGCGCAGCGCTCCTCAAGCTTCGGGACCAAGCCCTCTGCCCGCGCCAGCTTGCGGCCGTCGTCTAATAGCTGCGCCTCGAGGGCGCCCGCCTTTGCTAAGAGGTCCTCCCGCTCTTGCTGCGCCCGGCCGAGCCGCGCCGCCGCCTGCTGCAGCCGCGCCGACGCCGCGTGCAGCTCGGCGCCGCGCGCCGCGAGCGCGGCGCGGAGCGGGGCCAGCGCGCGGCGCAGGCGCTGGCGCGCGG